TACAGCCCATATTTCTGTATTGTAGATCCGCTGTAAAATACCATGACAAAGAAACCATTCTTCCACGACATGATTTCATTACATTGTTTTAAAAATATCTTTATGTTTCGGAGAACGTATGTCTGGTTCTTTTTTGTTTTTTTTATATCTGGCCATGCATGACCCAATTCTGAGAAAAAAAAATATATTAGGTACAAGAATTGAATAAAACAATGAATGAAAATTTTTATTAAGGAAGTTTAGACCAATTACAAAAAAATTTCATTCATTGTTTCAATCAATTCTTGTACCTAATATATTTTTTTTTCTCAGAATTGGGTCATGCATGGCCAGATATGCTAATAACAGACAAAATATCACTATATTACATTTGACACACAGACAACTTTTCTGGTCTGCATTATACAATACTGAGAAACAAAACACCATTGTTTAATTTCGACTTCAATTGTTGAATATAAAACAAAGAGAGAGATCTCATCAATGACATTTATTTCGGCCACCCGCAGTTATTTAATCAAGAAATTCACCGATTTTATTGATTATTTAACATGCGTGACTCCCATAATTTTAAACTTATTGTTTAAATATGCCTGTGACTGCTTTTCGTGTTATATTTGAACTATGTATGTCTGAAGAAGTCTGACCTTGGTCAGACGAAACGTTACAGAAATATATTTGTGTTAATGTGCAGCAAGACTCTTGAATCACTTAGGATTGTTATCTCTACTCTTGCTACAGCATCCTTGCATTATATGCATACGGATCCGCCGGCACAAAAGAATAGAAGAAGGATAAGTAGTTAGTCTCGCAGAAACCAAATAATCAGCACAAAAATTAGGGTTTCGCATTTACTGAACTGCTTGTCATTTCAAAACCTTCAATAGAGAACGACACACCGGATACACGCCAACAACCAATTCACCCTGTATTGCAATACCGTGACTGTTCTATTGAAATACTCCAAATTATGTTAAAATGAACTCAAATATTACGCACATTTACTACATTTTATTAATAATATATAATATAATTTCGGATTAGTAGAGACATTGTCTGTAAACTGGCGTGTTTTATTTGAATGGTATATTGAACATAAAAACCTTAGATTTCTGACGTAAGCCTTTTCTTAGCAGAGAGAATATTTTCGAATTTACATATATAGACACTGCATGGAAATTTTAAAGTTCTTATGGAAATTCATCTATTCTTATCAGTGCAGAATTATTTTTTATCAATAGTCCAGCAATTAACAACAGCGTTTGGTATCAAATATTCTTGAAAGAGATAAATGAAGGACAGGAAAGGCATCATATAAGATATGTTGGTGGAAAATGACTAAAATGAAACGGGTATACAGTTAACCTAATTTAATACCATTTGGCATATGTCATATATCTGACATGTAATTTTTCTCACTAGTTTCCGATTGCGTGAGTTTATGGAAAATTCAAAGGCATGTATAAAATAGTTTCAAATACAAAGTTACCGAAAAATACTGTTCACGCTTGCTTCAATGTGCGGAAAATTTTTGACTCTAGATTAAAGAACCAGAACCATCCAAACGAATTAAATACAAGTAATAAAACATTTATTCTGATTTGTTTTAGAAAAAATCATGTCAACTCGTAAAAAAGCAACTGATCTTCCCTTACTAATAATAAATATCCACGAAAATAATAGTTTTATAAAGCATCTATAACTAACCACGTTTTCGCTTCACCGGTGCCATGATATTACCTTATTATATACAAGGTTGATATTTGTTATGCGAGAATTACTTATTCCAGTAAACCAGTGGTGCACAATACGAAGCACGCGTGCCAAATTTGGCACGCCATACGTTCAAACTTGGCACGCGAACAGTTCTGTAAAAAAAAAATATATTTATAATATACCTTAAAATATCATGTTTATATCAAAATCAGCAGTTTTTCAGGACATTAAATTGTTTCAATAAATAGATATTCGTTATTATGTATGATTATTGAAATTTGTTTGATGTGTGTTTTACGGGAGTTCATTTACAAAGGTTGTTTCCCCGAGCATCGACTTCCTTGTTTACTTCGTGACATTGGTCAATCAGCAAGATGCAAAAAGTGACGCTCAGACATTTTTTTCGCTCAGACAGATTTTAAGGCGTGTTCGTAAACATTAGCTCGTTTTCGCGTTTTTGAATTCTATTCGTTAGTTTTCAGTTGTGTTTGGGATATGTAAATACATATCAAATAATTCAATAATCACTTTGTCTTCTTAGGAGTTTCAGTTTAATTGCAGTAATCAAAAATTAGTGTATATATATATATACATAGCTGTGATAGACTAGGCTAAAATACTTTACCGGTACTTTTAAAAAACAGATTGTTGAATGCTATGAATAAGAATGATGGTTTGAAACAAATATCCCATTTTACAGGCGCCAATTCGCGTAATCACTCTTAAAATAAGCACCGAAAATTTTGCAATGGTAAAGTATAGGAAGAATTTTACGGGGGTCAGAGGTAGGCTTGCACGTAATTGACAAAAATCAATTCCGTAATTACGGCCAAATCGATTACGTAATGACCCCGTAATTGCGATATTTTTTCACACATTTAAACCTATCATAACAACCAATTGAATCCACTTCATTTTCGATTGGGACATCGAGTTTGGGTTTTCATATTCCTGGCAGTACTACACGCCGGCGACAGATGTTAAGACAAGAGTGAATTCAAATTAATTTATTCTGATTTTTATCTTTTGTGCTAGCTTTGATATCATTTATCACCTTCGCAAATTAACCGTCCCAATTTTATGCGATCAATTTTATCATTACCGACACTGGTATACGGATATTTATGAAACGATAGTTGACTTTTTTAAAAATCATATTAAAAACAAGAGAGCTATGCTCAAATATATGGACACGTACCCAATGGCAATAATTTTGATGACGTCATAGCGAAAAAAAAAGTAATAGCCTTCTGGAGAATTTTATCTTTAACCACTGAAAATTTCAAAGCAATTGGTCCAGTATTCGAAGAGGAAAGCGATTTTTTAATAATAATGACAAAAGAAAATAACAATAAACGTGTCCAATAACAAAAATTTGAAACGATCGTTAATACCACTAAACGTGTCCAAAAATGTCGGGTTTCCAATTTATCAATGCCCCGACGAGCGTATTCTCTCGTTTGATTATACTTGCGCTTGCCTCGCGACGAAGACTTGTTATTGCACCGTATTTAACATTATTCGACTTTACTACCTAGTCAGCATTTTATAATAATTATTGATGCCGACTTATTGCCGTTATTCTGATTACCATGCTTCATTTTACATTAAATCATTTCGCGGCCTAAACGTTGTAACATAATTTGCAACAAATTTAGATCAAATATTAATTATTTGCGCATTATTTAAATACCGTACTTATATGATATGGCTTTTCTGAAAATACAAAGTTAAATCGCAAAAAAATGCATATTGTGACATTTATTTTGCACTCACGAAAAAATTAACTTATTTTTCTAACTCAAGTCGACGATCCTATCGGCCAAGATTGACACAAATTTGGTCGAGTGTCGGTGGTTTTCAAGAATCAAAATAAGTTGTCGCATTTGGTAAAGACAGTTAATCATATTTGGCCGAAATATAGTGAGGCATTGTGGAAAATATATTGAGCAAGGACAAGTCCGGACTGATATAAAACGATAAAACCGGTAACAGAACATCAAGGTTTTGTAATTGAAAATGGTTCTCGCACAGAATAAACACACTGGCTCATACTTGATAGTAGTTAAATTGAGAATATTGAACTGTTGAAAACAAAAAAACGATCGTCGAAATTCTTAAATCTCGTTGCCTTGGTTAAATATAATCCAATGATCAGGACATTTTCGATTAAATACTGCACAAAGATAGTTATACATTAAACATTTAGGCTACAATTTAGCTTTTTTAAAAATTTCAATCATGCATTGTGGTGGAGAAATCCCACTATTTAAATACGGGTAACTATAAAAATTGAATAGGATTCTGGATTCGATTTAAGTATTCTAAAACAGTGGTTCCCAACCGCCGGTCCACGGACCGTCAACGGTCCGCAAAGGATTTTTACCGGGTCGCGGGAAATCCCGTCATATTGTTGTTTCTCTGCCGTCTCAATCGCTTTACCCATGCCGAAAGCACGAATTTGCGTTGGTTCATTACGCAATTTCTCTTCCGTCGTCATATTGCTGATTTTTACCGGATCGGGGGAAATCCCGTCATATTGTTGTTTCTCTGCCGCCTCAATCGCTTTACCATGCCGAAAAGACGAAGTTGCGTTGGTTAATTACGCAATTTCTCTTCCGTCGTCATATTGCAGTTTGATAAGCGCGACATTAATTATCACGGTGACATATTGGCAAGAGAGAGAAAAGTGAGAAAAACGGCTGCAATACCGAAGCCCTAACCTCTTCTACTTTTTAAACTTTCACTTTTTACAATCGACTGAATTCACTGCTTTGAAGAGAGCTCGTTTCAATAGCGAAAGCGCTCGACCAATAATTACGACTTTACGTAATTCGTAACTTCCCTTCCGTAACTGGAAATAATTCCGTAAATCTGTAAATTACGTGCAAGCCTAGTCAGAGGTCAGGGAAAGGGTCATACCAACGATTGTGCGTGGCATGCGACAAAATTATTTTAAAAAATTTGGCACGTGTCCTCATTTGAGTTGTGCACCCCTGCAGTAAACAGTCTCGCCATAAATTCCAACTTCACATGCCTAATCTAGCAATTTTACTCTAGGATACATCGTCGAGCATTCATTAGATTTAGCGCTCTTAAATTAGTTGGTCGCTCTGATTGGTGCGTATAGGTTAGTACATAAAATATTTTCACGTGGTGCCGGCAAACATTGTAGATAAATTATATATTTATGAATGACCAATATTTATTACATTTCATTTATATTCAAGTAAATACCACGACTCATTGCACTGTGCACAAACAATGTAATATGATTCAATTGATGAAGCTTCAAATTTTATTTTTGGGTAAGGATCCAGCATGTAAACTAGATTATATATAATGAAAATGGAAATAGATTTTATTAATGTACATTATTGAAGATTTTATTAATGTAATATTACAAAAATTTGTAATTTGCAATGACGTATATATATATGATAATTTCATTATTTTGAACCGTTTGTAATTAAAACGTTTTTAAAAATTAACTCATCAGATAAACACTTTTTCATCTTTAAATTTTTTATTCATTTTTCTATCAACACATCGCGACTCCAGTCGGTTTCCGAACAGGTTGAAGCATGAAAGTTGGCAAATATTCCGACTTCCTGAAGAACATTGATGAATGCTGCAACCTGTGATAAAGTTGGATTTGGACTTGGAAAACATCCCCAAATAATTTGCTGGTCTGAAATAAAGAAGGTTGAACTTTTCTGCATAAAACGATAGCTGTAGATGACTGTTGTATGCATATTACTATTCCAGCAAATATTTAGAAGTGAGTGTACCAATATGGAGGTAACTAATTTTGTTCGCCTATTATACATCAAGTTGTATAAACTATAAAGGGACTGACATTTATGTGCAGAGGGTATATTCACTTGGCTAACACAGACAGTCTCCGAATTGGTATGTAACTAAAACAAGGAAAATCGTAAAAAAATTACGGCCTAAATCTAACCTGGTACACACACTAGGGCAGTACCATATTTAGAGCGTGCCAATGAATAGAGTTCATTGATTAGTTGTGATATCGTATTGCATACCATCGTGAGATGTTCCATCCGATGGACAGAGAAACCCCGCGAAATAATTCTTATAGTCAGTCAGATACACATAATTCCCTGTAGCTATCAAGTGATCTGTTGAAAATAAATACAAAAGTGAAATATCTACAGATAACTACAAAACGGCAATGAGTTTAAAAACACTTTATATTGAATTGTATACTAATATGTTATTCACCCATATCCAACAACGCTTGGTCCTCAAGTCCATTCATTCCTCTTATGTGCTGGGCGTGATCCATTTCTGCAATGGAGAGATATTGGTTGAAAAATGAGTATTGTTAGAAATTATTGTCATAGTCAGTGTCATTAGTCATTATGTCATTAGGATCTTTATTGGATACTGAAAAAAGGTCTGTGTAACGTTTTGGCATTTTTTCCTCTTAGTGAAACATTTTTTTATATCAGGTATTGTCCCCATTATAATTATATTGGTTGAATTTTTCCTGGCTATCGATTCCTATAGGCGAGTTCTTAACGAACCGAATACACTGAATCTACCGTGTTTGTGCCCATATAAATTTAGGCATTGATCTATTGCTATTATTTTTATTTGATAAAGCTAGGAATATATATAGAAACAGCGAACTTCTATTCAATTTTTTTTTTATATAATTAGGATATTATGTAATTAAACTTGAACGAAGCAAACCTCTATCTGATTCCCTTAAATGGTAAATTCCGTTTTCATCGTAGTCGTACTGAATTCCAAAATTGATGTATCTGAATAACACGACAACTTTTATAAAAGACACAGTATATATTTTAAACTTGAAACCTTTTTACTGTGATAGTCGGCAGAAAATACTGTAAATTTTTCATAATCGATTGTGGCCATAGAATCTTTCCTGCTAAGTATAGGGCAATGTATGCGAGCAAAGAGACAGGTTTGGTTGCGCCGATAAGCTACACCGAACTGAATGCCATATTGAATCACGATATTTATTGAGGCGCCGTCAAAGTTGGTAATAAAATTCAAACGATTTTTTTTTAAATTGAATCGTCGTCCGTCAACTAACTACTAAATCAATGCGCTTTGAAAGCCTACATCCTTCGTTGCTTTTATGAAAATGATGCTACACAGGTTTCTTACCATATATACATTATGATTACTTTTGAAAATTACCTGATAACACGTTCTGTTAGAACAGTTCTGAAGCCAGACTTTGTAGATGTGAAATTTTCATATTTGATACAAGATATTATTGATGTGATATCGTTCGTTTCTAGTCCAGTATACCACGAAAGTTTTGATAGCTGAAAAATTGGAAATACAAACAACAGAGATGAAACGTTGGCAAATTGGAGACAAACTTCTTTAAGAATCCGGTATTATATATTATGGAAGGTATTTAATATTTAATTTATTCAATAGGAACGTAATTGTTTTACGTCGATAGCTAAAATTTGGTACAGGTGAATCGAAAGTTGCCGGGATAAAGTGGGATTTAGTATCACGAATACAGGTTTATTGCAAAAGATGAAATACATCAATACAAACCTTGTCAATGTCTGATACAGAGCCAAATTTGACAAGATTTGGACTAAACTAAAATATTTTTCTGTGACAAATTTACCTTTTTAACGTCAAGTTCCATCCTCACATTGGGAAGGCGACATCTCTGTGATGCAATCGATAAGAATGTACTTGATAACGTTAATAGAAGTAAAAGAGTACTGGAATTCATAGCTATAAATAGTTGAAATTCCCAATATAGTCCTGCAATGATCTTATAAAATAAGTTAACAGACAATATGTTTGGATTGTAGAAAAGATCAGATTTGCATCGGTTGAGGCAACGTCAAGTATCTACAATGTAGGTAATCATCTTGATGAAAATCCAATAAATGCTTTTAACTATAAAGACTTCTGAAAAATAACATTTAATTTAAAATATCACTATGAGAATTTAACTAAAAAAAATCTCGTGTTTTATTTACCGCCAGGCGATGTTTTCGTCTCATTTTCTGGCAGAGTGTACATCGGTATTTGCAGATGCACAAGGCCAATCGAACAAAATATATATGATAAAATATAAAAAGGATGAGTCTAACGCAAGGGGGTAGCAGGCTAGAAGTGTTGCACGAAGTAAGCGAATTTAACGTGAAAGAGAACAACGTACAGGATATACGCTAAAAATCAATCAAGTTTCGCAATATAGTGTTGAGATACGTGACACACGAATACACGGAGACTGTAACCTAGTGTTTTTTTATCATAAACATCGACTAAATGCCGTAGTGACTTTCAAATCAAAGCGCAAATTTTCCCCCTCTCAAGTCATTTTTCTCTGACCGCGACATCAACGGCTCTTACTCAATTTCTCCTAGAGTTCCCCAGTGATCAATTCTTGAGCATACAGTTGTCTGAATATTCGGCAATGAACTACCAGATAAACGTTTTTGTAATCTACTCATTTATGCTGAAGGCACAAGTGTTTATACTTTTTTTTGCAAACTTTGATATGTAACACCGCTTGAAGCTGCCTAAATACTTGGAAACGGGGTTGCTCCGAGATCAATTGCAGATATCTCTGAGCACGGATTAAACCGAAATATTGGTGATAAACTGTTATATTAACCTCGATAAGAGCCCCATTTTCAATCCTGGTAAGAAACCGGAGCGAATAATCTAGTTGGTCTCATCATCTTTGCGGATTTTAACTTGGAATGAATAATATCGAAACTTGGGTGTGGATCGGAACCCGTCAAAAAGTCGGATCTCTATACGTACTAGTTGCTTTTTGCCCCTTTCTCTGCTGCTCTGAAAAACAGGAAGTCAGCCTTTAATATATAAAACGATAGCTGTGCATATAGTATATCAGCGAATAGCAAGGTGCGCCAAATGAATCAAGTTTTTCGTTCATTGATTAGTTATGATGTATGAGGTGGGCGCGAGACTTGAAAAAATGCTATTTAGATGTTCACTTAGTTGCTATATGGACTGTGAAGAAAGCTGCTGTAATCTTATCAAACAGAACAAAATTAAAATTCGTTGCACTCTTCAAAGCTGCAAGTAAAATATTGTATAAAATTTCCCAAACAGTTCTTGCATTCTATTTGCTCAGAAACTCTGAATGATTTAAGAAACGTTTTTTGACTCATTGTTTTGTTCTTCAAATATATGTTTACGTTATATCGTTATACGTTATATAAGTTCAATTGCAAATTCTTCATGCAATGGCACAACTCTCCAAAATGAGCCGACTAAGTATGAAAAAGCATTTGCAGACGCATTAGGGTTTTCATAACATACGTTTGTTTAGTGATTTCAAACTTTTTTAATATTCACAATGTATAAAAATGTATAATGCGTGAGACTAAGTGTGCCAGTCTAATTTGACTCACAAAAAGTGTTGCAAATAATTGAGCATTATAACGTACTCACTTATTCTTTTCCATCATTTTCTGGCCATGTACAAGTCACAATAAAACTATTTCAAATGTTATTTTGATTTTTGACTAAATAATTTTTTTTAACTTGGGAACCCTATTTTATTGTGTAGGAAAAGCCAAAAGCACACGAATCTAATAACTATGTAAACCTGTTTTTTTGCTCCTTATTTTAAAACTCCAGACAAAGAACTACGCACAGGATATACGCAAAAATCTATTCAGCTTGTTCAACAAATTCAGGTGGAGGTTGTGCCTAGGAACTCGTATATATACACTACAATAATTCTCGTAACAATTTGTTCATTTGGAAGTACTTATTTTATATTTTTTGATAATCCATGTAATGATCATACCACAATCGTGAAGTGGTGTTAAAGTGGCGTTGCTATAAGTTTTGTGTTGGCTAAAATCATCCTCTCTTCGCGGATTAGAACATGTTGCATGTTTGTAATTTTTCTATCTATATTCAACCAATATAATATAGAAGTATACGATAGAATTATAGTAGATTCCGCTATGTCCAACCCAAAATCCTCCTGATGCGCAAATTACGTTTCGGTTTCGTGGCGGCGCACATTAAATTACATGTCTAACACCATGAGTTACAGCAAGGGTCACAAACACGGGGCCCGCCAGAACATTTTATGCGGCGCTCAACGAATTTTTGGAGTTTCAAGTAATTGACAATCTAAGTACCAGTTACCTCTTCTTTCAGAATCGAAAAGGTAACATTCACTTTGATATTTTTCGTGCGATGTTTTCATTCATTTTTTCCCCCACGGAGTGCACAAAGACATATGCGGAGGCATGAGGAGGGATTGAGGGAAGCATGCAGGGAAATCCAATAAATATATAATACGCGCGACTGACTGGCGGCGAGAAGTGTTGCACAAAAGAAAACAAAAATGCATGATATAAGCTAATAAAAAGCAATCTACGCTGTGCAACTTAGTTATGATGAACCTAACACAAAAATAAAGTCCACAGTCCGTATCACGGACCTTTAATAACTCAAACCTCGACTCAATGTCGTAATGACAAGTCAAAACATCATGCCGTCAAAGGACGAACGCTAAATGCCAGCATTGTCAAATATCGTGGTTCCGTATAGTGTTGTTAAATATTAACCCGCAAACTTTTCTAACAGTCATGTAGAAGTTATTTTTTACAATAAAGTCACTCATTTATTATGGTATTCGTCCAAATTGTTTGCCGCCGACTTGTTAAATAGCCCGCAAAAGATGGATATGGCGAAGCTAAATCAATTGCTGATAGTTTGGCGCATTGAACTCTTGAAAACATGCTATTACATATTACACCTTGCCAAATTTTTGCCATCCTCGTACCCAGTGATAGGCTGTAGCCGGAACACGCCGGAACGGCGTTCCGGTTGTTGGACATTTTATTGCGTTTGCGTTCCTGTTGTTAAAATAAAATTATGAAAAGTCTAGTTTCTGCAGAAAACTTAGTTATTTTAATCGGTGTTTTGTTGCATCCTAATTCCTTTTACATTACAGCTTGCAAATAGTTAGTGCACAGCAGTAACATGTGATGAATGTTTCGCAGATCTTTGACCCCTGTGAAAATTCATCCAATACCTTTCTAATAATAACATTAGTATTTAATTAGTATATATGAATATTCTTTCAATTTTAAACAGTCATATTTCAGATAATTTTTTCATATTTCATTGTAGTTCTTCGGCTCTATCTCACGACAGACAAAATTACTGGTAGCGTCGTGTTGTAAACATATATATATATTACATTTTCACGAATTTGGTGCGTTTCGGTTGTTACGATTTTCCCAGCTCATCACTGCTCGTACCTCGTATCATTTTTCTCTGTTTGTAAAATCTAGATTCTAGGTCATCTTGATGACCAGTGCTTCCAAACATACTACATTTCGTCTATAGAGTTCTTCAAAGGTCGAGTCGTGGGCCTTTGTGTTCTTTTGATCTTAATATTCGTCAATGATACTTCCGACAGAGGGTTTTAAAATTTACTCGCTCAAACTGAAGTCTCAATTTTTCATGTCATGTCCGATTGAGTCCGTTTGAAATATCTGAAAACGGAATTTGCTCGTAATTACCGATTGGGAAATCAATTGCAAATCTACGAATAAGAATAAAACAGAAGTTTTGTTGATCAATAATCATAACCCTACTTGGCGCAATTTAGCGCGTAATTCACTTGTGCAAATTACCGATGCGGTTTTGTACGTTGCACTTGTCATATTGATACGGCTCATAATTGGTGTTCGAACCGCAAACTTTAAGGACGAATTCCGCAGAGGTCATGTTGACTTCCCGCTTCAACAGTCATTGTAACAGATTTCTATCTTCTGTAATGCCGAAACTTGTGTTGCCCTGAATTATCACATAAATCTAAGCAAGTGCAATAAAAGGGATAGCAAAGTTTTTGGGTGGGACTGTGGAGGGAAATACACTTTGTAGATGTTTTGTCATTTTTGTGTTGCTCACTATCGTGTTTCTCTGAAAACAACACCTACTCTAAAATAAGACCTAGCCCGAATTTTATAAATGATTTTAATACAAGAGAGCTATGCTCAAATATATGGACACGATAACCAGAGCGAAGCAGTACCTACCTTTGACGCTACCGGTACCCACAAAAAATTCTGAGTTTCGCGTAGAAGTAATTCACAGAATTAAACCGGACAGTCAGTGTTTCCGTGGATGAAAATTACAGCGAAATTTTGGACGAAATATCAGATTTCATGCGAAATTTAGAAACAAATAAAGGTAATAGCCTTCTGGCAAAAAAATCAATTTTTAATCACTGAAATTAAAAAGAAAAGCGATTTCTTCAAAACGTGTCAAAGAAAACATAACGATCGTTATGTTCATTACATGTTTAATAAGCCCTCCCCTTAAAATAAGACCTAATTAATAGTGCGAATTTTTTTTTGACCTAGTCGACAGTAAGAAATCTCTTTTACATGTTTAACATGATTAATCTAAAACGTGTGTGGGGAAAACGTTATTTAGAGGTAAATGGATATCGGTTTCATATTTTGTATATTTGAAAATTTTGTAATTCTCTAGTTTGTAATTTTTTTTTGTTATATGAAAATAATATGAAGACAAGAGAGCTACGCCCAAATATATGGACACGTCTGTTCGCAGTACAGTATACGGTTTACCGTACCGTCAGATCACAGTCTACAAATATATTCACACCAAGCGAAGCAGTACAGTAGGACACAAAATGGCGTCCGATGTCCTCCGAACGTTCGGTGACGTCATGGCAAACAAAAACAAATCTCACAGAGCTAACAGAAATATTTGAAATAAATAAAAGTAATAGCCTTCTGGAGAAAAATTTCATCTTTAACCACTAAAAATTTCAAAGCAAGTGGTCCAGTGATCAAAGAGAAAAGCGTTTTTTTAATATTTCCACTAGGTGTCCAAAAAGTGTCAAATAACAACAAAACGATCTTTATGTCCATTAAACGTGCCCAATAAAAGACATCCCCCAAAAATAAGTCCTAGTGTTATTTTTCGAAAGAAAATTGGAATAAGACCCAGTCTTTGACCTTTAAAAAATCATAGAGCTTTAAAGTAGAAAACATTTTATTATGTAAATCATCCTCATCTTAACAAAATTTAACATCGGATCATCGATCTTTGAGCAAAAGTAAGATGAAGAAAAAGTAAGAATGATCAGATTAATTGACAAACCTGCACCTGATGAGATAGAGACATCTATATTGGATGAAATTGATAATAGTTGAAGGTTATCCAAGAAAAAAAAAACGGCACAAATGACAGTTGAAAAAGGTAGGAATAAAAAATATAGCTAAATGAGAAATATTCAAAAGAAAAAAAAATCCACACTCATTTTTCTGAAAAAAACATAGCAAGAGAAGCATGAATCACGGAGTAAAACGCTGTTTCAAATCACGTAGCATCATCTCCAGTCCCTCATGCCAAATATGAAATACAACAGATTCAAGGAAGCATTCACAAAAGCACCATGAGCCACTGGACGATATATATAATGTTAAAGATGTACCGATATTATGTTCTTGTCAACACAAATTCGAATTTCTTTTGTTTGATACAAAACATGGATTATTTCGTTATTTATAATACATAAATAAAAACTGATACTGCGAACTTTTCCATTTTTTGATTTATTCAGTCAGTACTGGAATAAAGTTTTTGATCACTTTGCCACATTATTGAGTACACTTGTATCAATAATGTATGTATCAATAATACATTCGCAGCTGGAATTGTCGATCTAATATCAATATGACCAAAATGAATATGTCCTTAAGATATACAGTATACAACCCCGCATCAGTACAAATTCATATAAAGATTGCTATATTTTACTGACCGCTTATATATCTGTCGGACTGGAAAATATTCCCCCTATTCTCACTTTGCATAGCATTATATCTACTTATAATAAGAAAATATTATAACTTAGCAACAAAATGATCAAATCAAATCTAGGTTTATTTAGAAATGTGGTTAAATTATTTATTCCATGAAAAAGTTTTAGTGATAATTTCAATACAAGTAGGCTACCAGTGGACTGGCAGATTATTCAATGCAAGTGTAACCAGATACACATATTCTATATCTAAATGGTTGCATGGTTAAGTATCAGATATCATTTCAAAAATGTGAATTTCAATTTTTGAAATAAAAAGTATTTTTAGTTGACTGTTAATTCGAGTAATTGAACGGATATTGATCAATCAATATAAAAACACAATTATTCAATCTGGATAACAAACTTTAATCCCAGATCATTTATTTCTGAAACATGGACAAAATATCAGCATCTGCCAAGAAACTTTTTTTTTCGTAGTAAACAAACAAACCAATAACTGGAAATCGTTATAAAAAATTATTGTGCAGAATAGAAGTAATAATATTATAGAACATACAACCACAAACCAACTGTATAATCACAATTAGTCGCCCATTCAGGAACAAATAAGAGAAAAGTGTTGCTTTAGAAAAAGAAGGCACTTGACAAGATTAATCATTTATAAATAAGAATAAATATAAAAACAGACATTTATTAGGAAAGTGTGAACAACCACTTTCTAATCGAAAGTAATATAGGTAAAGGAGGTAAGCACAAATAATTATTAAATTACTGTTAAAAAAATTTAAATTTACACAAATGATGTCATAAAATTCTACTCTCAGCATCAGTAATAGTTAAACAATCGTGAACAATATTAAAAAACAAAGTGGTTGGTACTGAAATGCAAAGTGTTCATCATAACATGGAACTGAATTTCTGTAATGAATATTGTTCGAGAAAGCTATTTTCTCATTCACAACCATGAAGGAATCGAATAATTACTATAAGACCAAGGGAGAATCAAAGTACATTTTGGGAATGCCCTATGCATTTGAAAACTTTATGATAACTGGCTCTTGAAACAAATCTTAGCAACTTTTGCTATCTGCAGAAGTGACCTTTTGGAGAACAATGTTTTGAACTGACTTGTATTCCAGAAAATTCATCATAAATACATTGACATAAACTCAAATATAAATCTTGATTAGGATAAAACAAAAAAGTTTCACATTTAATTTCTAACTGTGAATGATGGTATAAGCTTTCAGAACAAAAATGTTTGGTTGAAAGTTGCTGCTCTTGGAGCAATAAGAGGGAAGAAAAAAAATCATACAGATGTATATGCAGTGGAAGAATATTGGTACAACACAAACTTGCAATATTGAAAAATTCAGTTGGCTCAGAACAGTAATTGATTTAGCAGTAGATATAACAATGTGAAGCATTTCATAATTCACGATGATATTTCTTAATAGTTCAATGAAACTTAAAATTTCTTTTCAAAGTTCATTGATATTTCATATGCCATATTTTGATTTCAAAAACTTAACATGAATAAAATTATCATTTCAAAAAGTAACCATTGCTTTGAAGTTTGACATTATTATATCTATCTCACCTGCCCAATTTGCCTCCGTGATAAAAAAAGAAAAAGGATTAAGCATTCCTAGGTGCACCTTTCTGGCCACATCACACTCATATTTTTAGGTGTAGCAAAGTTAAGCTGCCGTCTATCATGTTACTGTTCTTAACATACTTGAATTAGAAGAATCAATAGAGCTAACTGACTGGTGTGAACTTAATTGTCCATTCACATCCAAAGCTTGTCTTTTAGTCATGGGTATATAAGCACCAGGTTCAATATTATCGCTCAGTTCTTCAGAGTCTGCGCTTTCGGCAGTAGTTCGTTTTTCACAAGACGCTGCGGGAGGCCTTGTAATGGAATTATTATTTTTATGATTCAATATTGTTCGGACTCCGACGTGATGCTGCCTTGGACCCGGTTCAGGCGTGAATGTGAAAGTCAAATTGGTCGGATATATAATACCATCTTGTCGTACCAGATTAATTGGTACCTGAGCAAAACAAAAATAGGAATTAGAAAATAAATATAAATAAAAAGCTGACCGCTTACTAGTAGAACAATTTCAAACTACTAAAAAAAATTGCTTACCATCATTTTCACATACCGATAATTTACTCTTTAAATTTATTTTAACATACAAATTATACAACAGATACCTTTACAGGCTGTTTAACATAATTCCAATCTTCTCGAAAACATGAAATATCAGGAACAACGCACAATAATCCTTCAGCGCATCTATACATTGTTTCAGCTTCAATATCTCCAAACCATACTTGCAAAGAGGGTGTAAAATTTTCCCCATTAACTTCCAGCATGGCAACATCGCCTCCGCCATTCAGCTGCAAATCCAAAATTGATTGAAGACAGATAAAATTATTATTTTGGTCTAACTAAAAGTAAAATACAAATAGTCTACCTAAGAATTCACATTTCAATTCCAAATTAAGTCCAAATTGAACATTAATGGAGATATGAGCAAACAGATCCACCAGTACAGAATACTTTCTAGTATTTTAATATATATATTACGCTTTTGCCAATAGGTTGAATTTCAACTACTGTTATTACTAAATGGTGTGAGAGCTCTGTGAGAAAATACCAAATAATGCAATCCAGGAAAAATATTCACCCTGGCAGTGACGAACAACATATAAAAATGGAATGAGTAAATGAGATTGTCTGACCTGTAAACTGTGAACAATCGGCACTGGGGTGACAGGATTGGCTGTTGGACCCATCCCGTCATAAAATGTATATTCCGCTTTATCAGTACTTATTATTGTCCATGATGCACCATCGTTTATCATTTCCTTATTTGGTTCCTTTGGGCAGGGTGTCGCCTGAAGGGCAAGAAATAACATGAAAGTTTTGATCAACGATATTTCCAATCACAAAAAATAAATGACTACTTACTACTCTTTCTATGTCCAAAGAAATAACATTCAATTTTACAGAAAGGAGCAATTGGGAGATAATGGCCATCATAAATTTCCCAGCCATACCCTTTGTTGTGAATGCATCCAATGTATATAATTTAATATTACTTTTTACTTGTACATATCATAATTACTCTAGTTTCCTTCAAGCAATCAGCGCCGAAGCAAAGTATTGATTTACCGTACTTACTTGAAACTGAATTATTCTCTCTTGAGATAAACAAAGATACATTCGTTCAGAATCCTTGAGGTAAAAAGCGCATTTGTGAAGTTGTGACACTGGATCACTTGCATTTAAAATAGCAGTCTGTTTGTCAACCTGCAATATAATATTGACATGTTTCACTCATTTTGGCATAAGGATATAAATCTATCCAAACAAATTGTAACCTAGAATATGCCGGTCCTGGAATGCAAATTTGCAGCAAGGTTTGCAGTATGTAAGACAAAAGACCAACTGTATGTCAGGTGAAACTACTTGAGCTATTTGTCCAGAGGTTTGGTGGGAATGACACTGAAATTGCTTTTTAAAACATATATTTGAATCACTTGTTCCCACAACTAAAGTGTTAGTAATAACCTATACAAAACAGATAGTTATTACAGCCAATATTAGTTACAATATAAGCATCCATGGAATGGATGTTTCCCTAAGCATCACCTTCTTTGCTTATTTCTGTTACATTTGCTGATCATCAAAAAGTCAACAGAGATGTGACAATTAAAATTTTAGCAATCGCGCAGATACTTCTTCCACTCACACACATTCTGGTTTTATTTGTTAGTTTTTAGTTATGTTTACAAAATTTCATTTTAAATTACTCATTCTTTCTGTGTTTGGTGTGGGTAGGGTTTCAGTTTAATTACAAAAATTAACCCCTCAACAGAAAAATGATTGGACTTAGCTGCCAGTTCTTTTTAATTACAACAGTTGAACATTTTGTGAGCTATGACAAACATATCAGTACTTAGTATTATGCTTGTCGATGTCTTGATATCTTGGCCATAGTCACAAATATCAATAAAAGTTTTACTTCACAAAAGCAACCAGTCAGTCGTCATAAATAAATACAACTCACTTTTCGAATGACAAGCCTGGGTAATGCCATCCCTGTTGATGAACAAACCAACTTCACAGTTTGACCATAATGAATATAACCATCATGTACTGTAAATTCTTCTGACTCTGATTCGTTGTCATCCACTAAGTTGATGTGTAAAAAAAATATCAAAAACAAATTCTCAAAAAATGTAACCATTAGCAATACGGTATAAAGCGATAAAGTACAGATTTTAAAAATTAATGCTTCTCAAACCTAAAATATCCACAATCAATCCAGGCATAAATATCTGGTTTATATATAACACCTTCACACATTCAAAAATATCAACCAAAGGGAAAATACTTACACAAATGAATAGCGAAAGAACCCCATTGTATTGAGCTAGCATGAAAATTTCCATTTTCTACATGTAAATATCTTGTACTGACTGTTTGAGATCTCAATCTATTGAAGAGGGCAACTTTTGTTCCAGATGCAATACACACTAAAACAAAGAACAGTTTATTGCTAATACTGATTAGAAGGTAAGCTAAAAACATATCCCAAAATGAAGCATACTATTCAATATAAAAATATTCAAACCAAACTCGAGATCATAGCTAACTTCAGTATTATTCAACTGCATTGTTTTTGGCACAGTACATTCGAAGCCTAAATACCAAAATAATACTCACAATCCGCATTTTTCAATGACTGCTTCTTTTTTGATGGTTTGCTGATGACTTTAATACGTCTACTGTTGAATGCACCAACTTCAACTCCACTGGCAAAAAACATTTTGACAGATAACATAAAATGTTTTCTTTTGTCTGTATCGGAAATATATAATGTCTTTGCAGTGCAAAAGTTCTAAAAAAAATGAAATTATCCAATGTAAAAATCTTTTGAAATTCTAGTATAACAATGAAACAATAGCAAAAAATTCACAGCTCAGCATATGTTCAACATAATGTTAATATGAAACAATTTGAATAAAAACAGACAACAGCCACATGCTGTCAAGAATAAAATTGAGGAAATATGCAAATAAACCCTGAAACCAATAAAAAGACATAATTGATCAGATAGCTTTTTCATATGACAAAGCGTACATTCTCATCCAGTAATCTGAATGTATGACAATACATGTGGCACAATTGCAAGTATTTTCTAACCATTTAGTCAACAATTAAACAATGCACAAACCTTCAAATCACAATTTTATGCTACCAAGCAAAATTTCACAGAATAATTCCTTTTTAGATCTCTAAAAGAACTTGATAGCACAAAAGTATGTTTAATACCTTTCCTTCCAAATTGAGTTGTTGCATCTCTTGTTCACTACTCCCAATACCAATAAATGCATGAACTTGACTATTGTCATCTGGGGGTTGCTGCTCATTTTTTTCATATTGAACTAAATTGTGTTTCCACCCTCCAAACAGATATATGCAAGGTGGAGGACAAAAGAACCTACAGGAAGTATATTATAAATAAAATATATGAAATGTTGTAAACAAACAAACAAATTATCAGCTGCAAAGCCAAATCCCAGAGCCCAAACAATTGCTACTAACTTCTTTATAAAAGCATGGTGCCTAACAGTTTAGGGGGTTATTTTAATAAAATGGCTAAAATAGATGTTTTTTTTTAGACGATACACATTTTCATATTTTAGTGTAGTTCTATGATTATTAATGTTCATATTTTCAAAATATCAGCATACCGTTTTTCATTTCCATAAGATTTCTGAGCAACTTTTGCATGAAGAATAACCAATGTTTGGTCAGTTCTATCACTCAAATATTTCCTCATAGCTTCCCTGAGAATACACAAAATGTAATGTGAAATTTTGTTTTAAATATCATTCCAATGTTAATTATACACAACACAAGCATATTTTAAATTTATCACACGATACAATATTGTTGAAGCATAGTAGTATACATGCATTTATTAATATTGAAAGATAATAGCCTGCTCGATAACGAACCTAGTAAGCCTTCGTTGTGGTGGGATTTCGTCGAACGCGCACCTAAGAAGCAAAATTAGAACCACAGTTAGTGCATACACATAATATTGAATGCTACCATGGAGATTCTGACAAGAAACTAGCTGTCAAAAAGAAAACTAGGGAAAGAATATAGATTCTTGTACTTGAAAGTTTTTATTAAGCATAAAATTGTTGCCTGGATAAATTTGGCTGCTATCAGAGATATTAATTGGAGACATAGCCCCAAGAAAAATAAATGATTACCTTTAATAAGTATAGATATAATAAAAGTCACAAAGTAAAAATAAAAAAATAAATGACCTTCGCATAATTCCTGAAATATGTGGTTCTGCAGCATTACTACTACCACCTTCTATTTCATTATTACGAGGGGGCGATGGTCGATCATCTGGATGGTTATGTTGTTGTTCCATACTATTAAGACATCAAGAAAAGTCTAATCAAGAGAACATAAGATTGGTGTTATCACAAGTGTCAAAAATCAGAAAATGGTATTGTTGAATATATCCAAATACAATCACCAAGTGAAATGATAGTTTAAACGAAATTAGCTTATGCTCATTGGCAGCTAAAAAATGAATATTTTTTGTAGTTTTTGGCTTGGCTAAAAAAATATGATTTGGTTAAAATGTAGCCTGGCAGCAGTGGCACATTGTCTGTCTATATCTATACCCTTATTCAGATATTTGAAACACTATGATAACTGACAGAAGAAGTACGGTACCTGTAATGTTACATACAAACAGACAACATTACCAGTATGCGAGTACTTCTTCCGTCTGTTACCACTGTACCATAGCTACATACTAACATAGTGTTTCAAATATCTGAATGAGGGTACCGGTATAGAGAGATAGAAATTTTGAAAAGGTTCACCCTAGTCTGTAATTGAAATTTTGATTTTGTTCCAGGCCAGCCTTTTCAAGTCTAAGTGTTCAGTCGCTCACGAACAGTCTGTACAATGTCTTAATGGAATGCTGTACTGGAACCGTATGTATACAAAGATAGGATAGGATTTGCATATTTATCTCGGGGGAGAGGAAGTACGATAAGACGGCTTAATCATATGACAAACCACGGCCTCTCGTCCGGTTACCAGTCTAGGTCCAGAGGTCGGGTATGGGATTAGTTAGCCAGTTATTTGTTTTCGAAGCATGGACTTGATGGTGGAGGAAGCCGTAACCGACCAACATTTATGTGAACCACCCTACGGCAGCGAGGAGTCCAGCAATCCTCTCGCACATGATCATCCCCGCATGGGATTCGAACCTAGATCCTACGAAGGGTAATCAGAGATGCGGTGGCCAGAGTATTCCTAACGCTTAGCTCGATGCACCACACCACCGAGCCAAGACATCAAGGGTGAACCTTCACAATACAGGTAACATACATTATTTCCCGATTTCTAGCAAGACAAAGTCAAACATATACGGCACAGTGTTTCCTCAAAAATAAGATCTTGGTTTTGCTGTGATGAGTTCTGGAGGAAAAGAAAAACAACAGTGGCACCGTCCTATCACGATGTCGCTAAAAATGCTTATTCCCTTTGCAACAACTTACGAATGTGACGCATCTTTTTATACGCTACTCGTTATTAAAACAGCATGTTGAAACAGAATGGAACGTGAGATACGATATGAGAGTTGCAATATTCAAAACAGAACCCAAGCTAGAAGAACTAGCGGGAACCAAGCAGGCGCACACATCTCATTGAACTGTTTTAATGTCATTCAATAGATGAATGCTTAATATAGCCTACCGCGTTGCTATTTGCTTTCATTTTTTTAGTGGATTGCGAGTCATCAGAAAAATTGAAAGGGGACCGTTAAACATAGTTTTTCAAAAAGTTTCAGAACCACTGATCTAGAGTATCGTCGTAGCCTACCGGTACCGTAGTTGACAGCGAAAATTTGGTTAAATAAAATCTTTTTCGAATTTTATGAATCTACAGACTTGCAAGACATTCCGAAGCATCCTGATATCTGGATATGGTCATTTTTGAATAATCTATGTTTAGCACTTTTTTTCTAATAAAAATGTATTATTTATACGTAAGTTAAATGAATATCAGTTTTCCTATTTTGTATATTTGAAAATCGCGTAGGCTCAAATAATTTTGTTTTTGATTAATGAAAATAAAAGATATCCCCGAAAATAAGACCCGGTACGGTACCGTACCGGTACCCACCAGTAAACTTCCCACAATAACGGTACCGTACCGGTACTCTATCTGTTTATAACTGCGCTTTTCTTCGTTTGCGCCAATTGTAACTTGCTAGATATAAATCTATCTGACAGACAACGCCACACAACAGCACAGACAGAGCGTCCAAGACATCAAAAAATGCGAAGGATACAATGAAAAACGATGCCTGTTTTGATCACAATATCGAGAATAGACAACCAAAGAGCTAGGGAGCCGGGTTATGAATTTGGCGTGACTCCGCCGTCGTGCGGCGTCGATCGACCACCATCGCTGATACTGTTTGTTAAAACCCATTGGAAAACACAGGATTTAGCCAAACGCCAAAGTTTGTTAATTCAATTCAAGTTTATTACACCAGACCATCATGGTCCATATTAAATAACACAAATAAATCAATAAACCCAGTCAAATACAAAAATAGCACAGTATATAAGAATATCACAGGAAAATACCACAATGAAGTGAATCAAGTTTAAGGTAGGGCTGAGTAGGCTAAAAACCTCATAGGACTCAAAAAAGAGTGCGTGGTAGCTCACAGGTCCTGTTTATATTAAAAGGCCATAAGTGAAAAAGTTTAGAATCGGAGAGGAGCCCGTCACAAACAGTTCAGGTTCAAGTTAACCGACCAGCGGTTACGTGAGCCACCCTACGGTGGCGAGGAGCAATCCTTTCGCACATGACCATCCCCGCATGGGATTCGAACCTGCGAACCCACGCAAAGTAATCAGAGATGCGGGGGCGAGCCTATTCCCAACACGGTGAGCCAAACCGCCGACATAGGATAGAATTTACATATTTATCCCGGGGGAGAGGAAAGCCGATAAGACGGCTTATCCATATGGCGAACCACGGCCTCCCGTCCGGTTACCATTCCAAGTCGGGTATGGGATTAGTCTTATTGACTGTATTGTTTGTTTTCGGAAGCATGGACTTGGTGGTGGAGGAAGCCGTAACCGACCAGCGGCTACGTGAACCACCCAACGACGGCGAGGAGTCCAGCAATCCTCTCGCACATAACCATCCCTGCATGGGATTCGAACCTGCGAACCCACGCAGAGTAATTAGAGGTGCGGTGGCGAGCGTATTCCTAACGCTTAGCCCGTTGAGCCACACCGCCGCGCCAAGATGATTGTAACAAGATGTTTTTTGAATTTCTACATCTACTCATAAACAACCACAAATTTTCTATAGAGTGCTTTGGATGAGGGAATGTTCCCAAATAGCCTACCGTTCTTTCACGGATACTCTCACATCTAGAAATGTACTGAATTACGCGATTATTGTACGAAATGATAAGTTTTTTATAATAATAATCATTAGAAAACAACAAAAGATGGTAGGTATCGTTTCCAGTCAAGGTCATCTCTGACTTTAAGAGTTAAGATCATTGAAAAATATGACTGAACATTTTTCTATTTGCAACACATCCAATGGCCTATAGATTTACCTAATTAGAAAGAGCATCCACAACAACAGCATATAAATACGGACTTAAAATACTGCCTTGCTTGGTGCCATTATGGACAGAGAATGCATCTGACACACAGCTACCCCACCTAACAAACATGGATTAACTGCGATACATGTGCACAATCAGATACAAAAATATTTTCGGACATTTTCTGTTGATAAATTTACGAAATAGAGACCAATGATTAACTTGATCGAAAACTTTAGTAGCATCCAAAAAAAAGCTATAAAAACTGGTGAGGATTTTTTGGAATAACAAGAGAGCTATACTCAAATATATGGACACGTAGCGCCACCCAGTGGCAATAATTTTGATGACGTCATAGCAAAAAAAAAAAGTAATAGCCTTCTGGAGAAAAATTTTATCTTTAACCACTGAAAATATCAAAGCAATTGGTCCAGTATTCGAAGAGAAAAGCGATTTTTTTAAAATGGAGACGGAGACAAATAACAATAACAACAAAATTTTGAAACGATCGTTATGGCCACTAAACGTGTCCAATAAACGTTTCCAATAAGTAACTAGCTGTTTTAGTGAGAAACTGCACATGTCAGTACCGTGACTAGGCTTGAAACCAAACTTGTTGTGAGATGTAGTCAAATAAGATTCAATGTTATTTAAAATACGTTTTTTAAAAATCTTAGATAAGACAGAGGCTACCTCGATACTGATACTGCCTGTAGTTACTTGCGCTACAAATGTCACCATTTTTGTTCTTAAAGAGAAGATGCTGTAGTATAACTATGATTCATACAGGTGTTCATATACAAACATAAAAGCGCTCATAAAATAGGATGAGAATATATCAGATGTTTCTTGGTTATCCCATCAGGACCAGGGGAGCAGCCAGATTTGAGTGAAGGAATAATAAATTCAAGTGCATTGTTAAAATTTCCACCGTGATAAATCGTATAGATAGAGTATAGACCAGTCAACGGCTCTTTTGCGGCTCTCATTATCCCTTGAAACTTATCATTTTTATTGAAAATTAATCAATGACTTGAAATTGAAAGACTAAAGTGCACTACTACATCGTAGTAGCTGCTAGGTCGTTCGAGTGCAACTTTTTAATATGATGCCATAGTGTTGTAGTTTTTTTCTTACAATGTTTAGCCTACGTTTTAGTACACTGATTTAATTATTTTCGGTAATCGCAATCAGACAGGCGTATCACGTACCCCGTGCAACGTTAGGGTATTTAAAACAAAAGGTCAAGTATGCCTTCAAAATATTCCTCTTTATAAATATCCAAAAAAGAAAATATTTTTAATTCGAAATATATATTAATAGGAAGCCAGCTATTGATATATATATATATATTGCTAGAGGATGCAACATTACAATGAAAAACCAATGTCAAGTTAGTTAGGTTTTACCCTAAGTTTTGTTGATGTCGTTATTTTTAAATACATAACCGACTCGAGTGTTGTTTTGTTGCGATTGCGATTTACAACATTCCTTGGATTGAACAATCTTCTTTAAAACTGGATTATATGTCGTTGTTGCCAATAGAAACAATTCTTTCACGTGGGTGCATTCAGAACATATACATATATATGTGAAGAGAGAAAGAGAGCATATGCTTTGAATACACGTGCTTTAGTGTAAAAAACACAGATTCGTTTTAACTGTATGTACTCCAATTACTTCCCTGACGGCGAACTTTGTTTTTGATACGATTGCCACAGTCGTTGTAGTGCAATAAACGCTTCTCACACCAAAGAATGAAGTTGTGATGTAATTCCGCATGTATGCCTAATACTCTACGCAGGCATATTCTGGTCCAGATTGGTCCCCAAGATTCTTCCGTTCAAAGTCCAACGATATTAGGTCCTACAGTATTTCACAGTGGGGGTTTCCTATGATGTTGGGAAGAAATCTGTAGAGTACAGCGATGTCCATGTTTGGGGCGCTGTATCATTTGTAATCAGAAAATAATTTTCATTATATCTCAATTTAGCAAAAAAAATCGACGCAATTTGGAAACGGCCTACGCTGTTTTCTCGTGTGTTTGAAATAACATTCAGTCAAGTTTATAAGTTGCGATGCTATCAAGTTCCACTGTTATATAAATTATA